ATTGTGGACAGCTAACACTATGAGTCTTCTTTCCAAATACTGTTGTAATATCTCTTCTGAAGAGATTAACTGATCAGCATTGTAGGCCACCAAAAAGATAATTTATTGTACTGAGCTGAGCTATGTAATTATAAATTACACATAGAATAAGCAATATAAATAATAACAACAAGGAATGTCACTGATCTTAATCTAGTCTATGCAAAAGTGAAGGTCTCTCAACAGCTGACCTATGAATTATTCTTGCAGAGCAAGAGCAAGTACTACAAAAGCTTTTCTATTTTGTCACTTCTTTCTAATAAACTGCTTGTTTCAGCAGACCCAAGCCCATGCTTAAGCTCTTGGTTTACACCAGTTTAGAGTCAATAAATGTTACCTAGTAACCACTGTATCCTGTAGAAAAGCTGAGCAGCCTGAAAACTACATTGAGTTCTAGGCAGGGAAAATTTGTAAGCTGTCTTAAGAGTTTCCAAATTTATTGGCAATGTGTGTGAGGAACGCCTAACCTATTATGTGCAAATAAATAATAATGTCACCATTCATTAAGTAATGAGTTGTGTACCTTACATTTGTAAAAATGGTAAAGAATCACAGCACAGGATGATGTGGTTACTAACACCCTAGCTATTAAATCTTGCTACTGAATCATTAACTACAATATAAAATACTCAGCAGTATTGAGATTTTTCCCCTTCTTTTTTTTTTTTTTCTGAGTTTGAACGGTAATATTCATAAAAGAATGATGTCATTGATTAAACTCATAACCACTTTCTGCCAAAAGGAAAATAAACACATTGGAATGACATCTGGCATTAAGTCTCTGTTTCCTTATAAACATGTTTATACTTTCTGTTTCTCAAGACACCAAGGACAACAATAAAATCCGTATTGTGAAAAATTTTTACAGCACCAAATTAGTACTAATTAGTACTTGGAATTTTAAATATGAAAATATTATAATGTCAAGAGCTCTCCACCTAAGTGTATGTATACAGCTTCTACCACCAAAGTATTTGATGTACTTGTATTACTACCAGGAGTGACTACAAATTCCAGTTGCTTTTGCTAAAATATTAATGTTCTCTTTTTTATGGTAGCTGAAAGGACTTTTAGTCAAGATAGGCATCATAAAGGTAGTTATATCCACTGATCTATAGGATGAAACTGTGTTAATAATTTTTGGTTATGGATTTATTTTGTGAATTTGTCTGGTTTGTGGGTTTTTATAGTATTCTTTACTATGAATTTAATTCAAATTACTCTTGAGATTATGTGACATTAATCAGCATCACAAAATTTTGACAGTTCTGAGATCCAATGGTAGCATCATGGTTTTTACATCAATGCTGAAGCTGTCTAATTTCCCAGGAAATTGTGAAATGTTGGGCAGCAGGTGCAAAAACTTTGTGGCACGAAAAATCTCAAGAAGAAAGATTTCCCTCTCTGACACTATAATAACAATGAATTTAATAATCTTTCAGATACCCTTATTTTTGTCCATCCAGCTCTTCTAAGACAACAATGCTGGTACATTTGCAGTTTTAGAAGGAAGTTTACCCCAGACATCTTAAAAAAGAAGAACATGTCCTCATCCTAAAGAAGAAAGACAGCTTCCTCTTTTGGGAAGGGTCACTGAAAAAAATCCTAATCTTGGAATTTAAATGGTGGGCATTAATAATATAGACTTCTACTGAGTATGACAAATAATTTACTCTTAAATCTTGAGAATAAGTTATGCCAGAAGGATTCAGCAAATTCTAAGAGGCAGCACCCAACCTCGGCAATTTTAGAGTAATGCCATTCAAAGTGGAACAACTTTCCCTTGGACACGTTATGGTCCTATTCACACTATTTGTACTTTTAAACTGAATTTGGAGGCAAAATCCCTGCTCAGTAAATATATGAATAGTATATGTTAAAAACAGCAAGTTTCTTTTCTCTCACAGTGTCACACTTTGTTTACCCTGGAGAGAGCTCCTGTGCTTTTGTATTTCATGGGCCTATACTGTTTAATAGGCCTTCAATAGAGACATACATTTTAGAGGAACAGGGAATATAGCTAAAAAGTATGGAGTGGCAACACTCTTTCTTACTTTGTTACCTCCCTAAATATTAAATCTTCATTTGCAGAGAAACAAGGCAGTCACATGAGGAATACTGGAGAGTTACAGGCTGTGTGGTGCAGCATTTGGTCTCTGCTCCCTTTCCCATTTATAAGTTTTATGGATGAGAAAACATAGAAAGAGGACCACAAGAGAAGAAAAATACAATGGGGTAGGATATCTCCTTGGTAAATAGGACAAACTGTTTCAATTCAGACAGCATTTTAAACTCCTCAGTAGTGAAAGGTCTATCATGTGCAGAGGTCGAGCAGTAGAACACAGAGAAAACTTGTGATAAACAAAATGAATAATTTTGAATCATATTCTTAGATCATGATCCTCTTTCCTTTGAGGTCAACACCATGATTCCATTGAAATAATCTAATTTCACTCTCAGACTATTCATCCATCTCCAGTTAAGGAGAGAACAACACTGTGCTATATATGCAGCTGCACTTTTAGGAGGCCTACAGTCAAAACCAAACTTCCTTGATGCAGATGAAAAAAATTTAATGAGGCAACATAAGTCTGAAAAATGCAGAGATTTTAATTATGACAAAATAGCAAAGTGGGCTGTTTTGACCTCTAGCAGACCATTTTTTGAACCGACTACTTGCAATTGAAAAGGGTAAAACAAGGAGTAGAGAGAAAAAGAAAAAAATAAGAAGGTTATTCAGTGTAATAGTTAGACTAAAGATTAACAATGTATTTTTTTTTTCTGAAAAGCATGAAATAGACTAAGCAGAGAATCATGAGAGCCATCAGAGAGATCCAGTAATGACAGAAATTCCAACAGTGTGCAGATTTATTTTTTTGGGATTCTAACATCAACTGGTTTTACTGCATTATCTCCTTTAGCATCAGCTGGAGTCTGACAAGGATCCATCAGCAGAAAATCTAGAATTCCTACATTGTCAGAATCTAACAATACTAGTCCCAGTAGATCTTTTACAAATAGTTGTCTTCCACGTTGTTCCAATATACAATAGAAACAATACTATGTTGAAACAAGTACTTTTGAGGATTCTTTAAGATTTATTATTTTAAACTATATGAAACATAACAAATATGCTAAAGAATTTCTTAGTAGTACTGCTGAAATAAACTACCACAGCATCAAATTTACTGCAGTGTGCTATGTACCAACCATTCACAAAGTAATGTCCTGGTTGATTTTTTAAAAATAAAAATATCTCCAATGTCTTCTGGGTCTCAACACTTTGTTCACCCTGCAAGACCCTGTCAACAGCTCGAAACAGGCCATGCATGCAGAAGCAGAAAATGCATGTCAGATTTTGTCTTCAAAATAGAGTCTATGTAATTCAAAATAACTGTTGTTTGAACAACTGAAAACAAGTATATGCTTAAGGAACAGTTAAAAATGCTAGCCTGGAAAGTTTGCTTTGGCTAACACAGTTTACCTTAATATGATGGGTGGAAGGCAGAGGGTATAATTCAAAGCCACCTACGATTATGAGAGTGCTTGTTAAACATTTCTTTCTCATGAAATATATAGTTTGGTTGTTCCTTACCTCTGTTTTCCCATTCCCTGCTGATTTACTGCATGGCATTTATATAGGCAGCTGTATGTTGTTGTGAAAACAATGCTGAGCTTGCAGCTTTATTTTAACTCTAAAGCTGAACTGGTTTTAAGATGGAATTTAGCCAGCCTCTGAGAAGAGCTATGTGACATGACTCACTGTGGGAGAGAGAAGGGGACTATGGGCTGTCAGTCCCATCCTCTACAGAAAAACTCAAGAATGGCTAGAATGAATTCTTTTACCTAAGGTGTGATTTTTTAATTTTTTTTTTTTTGGTAAAGGAAGTTGCCTCTATAAATATATATATATATATATATATATAAATATTTCAGTCTTACCAAGAGACAATAGTTTTAAAAATGAATTTAGACAAGAGCTTGCTACTATCTAAGTTTTGCAGGTTTTTGCTTTCCAAACCTTGCAGGAAGCCATTGACTACAAAGCTATGAAGTATGGGCATATTCTCTTGAAGGACCAGGGACTCTACCCTGCTGCCAGAGATCATGGGGAGAATCAAGTTGGTTGGTTGTTCTAGACCTGATTTTTACAGAGGTATCTGATTTCACTCATCTAAGGCTGACTCATTAACTTCATTAGGAGTTTGCTAATCAAGACATGCCTCTTACTAGGGTTTCAAAAGATGATTAAAATAATGAAAAGTACAGGAAGAAATGTTTTAAGCTTTCTGTGAACATCAGCAGAAATTAGCTTTACTAGATTCTTAGAAAAAGCTCCTCCTTTGTTTGGTACATCTCCAAAGGTTAGTAGGATAAAGTTCAAAACACCACTAACTCTTAATTTCCTGAGAGAAATCCAAATGTGATAGAAAATGGTATGTAAATAATACTGTGGTCACAAACAGGATGCCATAAAAAATGTGGTGGTGGGAAAAACTGAGGGTAGATGACAGTTTTGAACAAGAGAAACCTCACTCTGTTGGTGCATGGAATTTCCAACTCAGAAAATTACACAAGTTTTACACTTACATAATAACAAACTACTCTCTGCATTTGATTCAGCATATTACCTCAGTAAGTATATAATGATAATGATAATGATGATAATAACAACAACAATCCTAGGCAATGCCAGAAGTTATATCTTCTTGAAACTTCATATAAATGTAAAACTGTCACCCAATTCAGATAACTTATATGCTTCACCTTTAATGCGTACTCCTTTGTTTATATAATTTCTTAGACACAGCTATAAAAGAATAAATATGTAGGTTCCCATCCCTTTTACCCATTTGGTAATAAAGAACAGCTCTTTAGCAAGACATCCCAACACACTTCTTCTAAAAAAACACAAGCTACAGAATGCAATGGAAAATCAAACCATTAAACATAATGTGTACCTGCAGAAGTAATCTCTCAAAGGCAAGGAAATTGTCCCATTTGGAAGTCTGGGGGTGTTTCAAAGTCTGGACTGTAGCCAGCACAAGCTGTAGAAGACCACAGTGGTTCTCCAAAGCTTTGAGATTGTTTCGGAAAAGCTGAATGTATGAGCTGAGCTGCTCGGGGGTGACTCTGCCTGTAGAAGGGAAAACAGGACACAGCAATCAGTGGAGACAAATGCAAAACTAAATTTTTTAAATTATGGTGAAAAGGTTATAGAGAACATTAGTGGCCTCTCCACTATGGGCCTGAACTTAGCTTTGCTGCAATCACTGGGAGCTTCAGCTGCAGCAACAGGTCAGGACAAAGACTTACATCATCCATGAATTGTGCCTTGAGGCATGTAATATGGCAGGTTTTTAACAAGGTACAACAGATGGTGACATAAAGGGTAATACTTTTGTTTTCAGACAAAGAGGGACATTCATTTCAGTTAGGAAAATAATATTTGATGACTACTTCTAAACAATCTTTCTTTTTTTACCAGAAGTCCAACGAGAATTTGTGAGCTTTTTACCTTACAGCAAATTCAAATCTTCCCACCACTTCCTGAGGGCACATTTTTTGATTAGTCTTGGCTAGAGAAGCAGATATAATATTAGTGACACAAGGAACTCATTTCTGGAGCTCTTCTTGGAAGGGACACTTCCAAGGTGTGACCCTTCAGTTTCTGACATGCAGTAACCACAGCATGATTTCACCAGCTGTTTGAAAATAAACACCCCAATGCCCACACACAGACATGTAGATCTCTTCTTATTAGAAGAACATGAGGGGCACCATTTGGGCCTGATGAACACTACAGGATTAGCTGTTGTTCCATCCACCATTAAAATACCAGCTGAACTGCTCAAGCAATTTATATTTTGGAAGCGATCTCTTTCAGGAAGGAAGGCAGCCCATCTATCCCAAGAAAATCACCACAGATGGCAATTACACATGATGGCAAATGCCATCAACAGACAGGCAAAGATGATGTCAAAACACCATCCTAGCAGCAAGTCTAGATTGCCACCCAGTCCAGGGCTGGTTCCTGGAGGCCTCTGCCAGTAACAAGTCATCTTCCTCAAGAAAAGCAGACCTAAAAAGCAGGGATATATGAGATAGAGTGAGGAGGATCCTTTAACTTAAATAGGACAATCTTTGGTGCCAGGAAGACATGAGGGTGTCCTGACGCTAAGTGGTTCATAGCTTTTAACACTGATCATTTCAGTCAGAATTTTTCCATAAAGGAAAAAATCTTGTAAAACTGCCACTGTGTTTCTTCTCTGTGTTTGGTTATATCATCACTTAACAAGGCTCCCCATCTGCCTTCATCCCTTCAGTATCATATAAATGGCAAATAAATTATTCCAACAGTGAAAATGTTGAAAGCTCTTCCTCCTAGTTTCAGTGATATCAAGGGCGGTCTTTGGAAGAGCATTTAGATTTGGGAAAGCTGCTAAATAAAGCAAAAACACACGGGCTCTTTATGTGAATTTTAATGGAAAGCATCAAACCAAAAAGTCAGCAAATTAACACACAAATCAAGCTGACACCACTCAGTAGGCCAGAGGGCTGACAAAAGGCTTCCACGGTTAGCCCACATAGGCTAAAACAGCAACCACGGCCATGTGTGTTTTTAGACTAAACACTGGAGCTTTCAGTCTTGTTTTATTTCTTTTAAAGCTGTGTCAGGTAGATTTACACGGTGATTTGAAAATGTCAGTCCATGATGCCTTGCAGCATACCTTTGATAATGGCTGCATTATTACCCAGAGCAGTCCTGATATATTGTAGCTTATTCAAAATCTGATAACTTGCTTCAATTGAGAAAACGTGCAGTTGCCAGCCCCTCCCTCATATGAATCAGAAAAATAGGAGGGCTTTCAAGACTTCTGATTTCAATTAAAAAAATAAATTCAAGAGTTTTGTTCCACATTGTTCCTTGTGAAAGCAAATCCAGATGAAGCACCGGATCAGTTTTAGAGCCATTCAGCACCATTTTAGATAAACAATCAAATTCTTTCCCACCCTCAGAATACCACCAAAAGAAAGTCCAACACATACGTAAGTACAAGGAAAATCCTGACTTTAGCAAGTCATTAACAAAACGTATACTGGCATTAAGGAGAGCAGCATCTCATCTGTGATATTTACAATACCCATAGAACCGCTCAGATCCAGGGTTTGAGAGTTCCAGCCAGCTTCTACACAGCAACTCCCTGGACAGCTGGCTGATAAATACAGTTCCAATATTCTACTATTCCAGTAGCTGAGGAAAGGAATTCGGGAAAGTAATTGGTGGTAATCAGCAATTAGATGACTTTTCCTGAAGCCTAAATCCTCATCATCTTCCCTGCTGCTTGCTCACAGAGGGAGATTTCAGCACAACAGACTACCGTTAATCTAATTTCAACCCTACCAGCCCTTTGGATTTTTGAAGTCCCTCTGTTGTTTCAAATAGTTTCATTGCAATGTCGTAGATAGGTCCTAAGAAATCAAGAGGAGATCTATTTCAACCACATCATGTCTCAACTCTCATTTTGTTCTCCTAAAGCATATTTCAAGGTTCACAGGCAGAACATGGCAACTACTGGCAAAAGGACTTTAGTGCAAGTGTCTTGTCCTGCTCTCTTCTTCCTGCTCCATCACAGTCATATGCCTCTCCAAACTCTAGATGCATGCATAGTCAAAAGTCTGTGTGAGCATCAAAGCCTGACCTGTGAGAAATACATTATGCTGACAAAGCACTTGATAATTTTTAAATTCCTGGATGTGGAAAGCAAAAACTTGACCTCAACCACTGTTAAGGGATTTAAAAATACTGATAACCTTTTTACACTAATGCCAGGAATTCCATATTGTCTAAAAAATAACCTTTGCCATTAACAGTTATTAAGCAGAATGTGTGAAACAGGTACATTTGTCCCAAACTCAGCCAACTACATTAAATCCCAATTTTGGACTTGAAAAAATGACATCTACTGAAAGCAATATTAAAACAAAACAAAAACCAACCACACACACAAATAAAAACAACAACAAACTTCAATAACAACAACACAAATCACCCCAACACTGATGCCTCAAGCCTCTAAGAGAGAGGATGAAATCACTAAGTAGTCACTGGGAAGCATCACAGCGAAACCCAAAACTTAAGAGAATATAGGAGGATGGGGAGCAGCTAAGAAAAGCAGACTGATGATGTGTGAGAACTAATTCAGCTAAATAACAATGAATGGCTTGTTTGGCACAATTAACATATTTGTGCACTAAAGAAAAAATCTTGGGAAACAGAATGGAATAATAATGCAGAGAATGAGACTGGTTATTACAGAAGTAACAGAAACATGACACAGTAGTGACCAATCTCACTACTGAGGGACCTGTCCCATCCAAAAAACACTGAACATCAGTGTGATGAAGCAAGCCTGTGTTTTAGGGCTCTGATAAATGGAAGATAAAAAGCAAGATGTAACAGAGACTAGACTAGCCTAGGAAAAGAGAAATCTAACATTTGTGTCACAGAAATGGTGAAATTAGCTACCTTATTTAGCTGATATCAACAGTGCGAAAAGCTTCAGGACGAATGTCCAAGCAAAAAAATCTTACATCACACCTAAAAATGGGATAAAATGCAAAGTACATTTATCAAAGAACATCACGTCAAATTGAGATGTAACCAATTAACGAATTAATTACAATGCAAATGGATTTAACATAGCATTAATTGTGCCACAATTATATTTGAGTGGGAAAAGACTAGGATTACAAGAATTTTAAGATGCCTAAGAAACACCCAAAACCAGATGGCAGGTCATATGCAATGGAGAAGTTCTACTATATAAAAAGAAAAAGTAAAGTAAGAGTGTTCTTCTTTATGCTTGTACATATTTATAGTACAAATTTTGGTAATAAGTGATGCCAAAACAGGTGCTGTCAGAAGCTTGTGGAACATCATTAATACAGAGAAAGAGCAGCCAGCAGATCTGGATTGCTTTGAGTATTGGACAAATGTAAGTGGGATGAAATTTATCAGTATAAAAATGATGCATTTTGAGGCCAGGGTAAGAGTTGTAAATGACCTGGAAATGACAAAAGAAGGAAACAATGTCTAGGCTTCTTCATTGTAAAAGAGCAGGTACAATTCCTTTCAAGTGATACAGTTGTAGTAAAAACAGAGGCCATAGAATGCTTCAATATGTAGAGGCCATAGAAATGCCTCAATACAAAGCCTCCCTCCAGGAGCACTCTGTGCAGCTCAAATCACTCCCATTCCTGGAAGTTTAACTCAAAACTGTGATGCATGCACAGAGAGGTCACTATCACAATTAGGATGATGGAGAACTAAATGTTAGGAATGCAAAACAGAAATGTCTGGCTTATATGGGGTCCCTGCATCAGCTGGAAAAAAAAAATCAGGTCTCTTTGAATACATAAAAAATATTTGCATGAAAGTTCAATACTTGTACTACAACCAATGGATATAAAAACCACATGAATATATTTACACAAGATATTAAGAAACATCACTTATCAATCAGTCTTCCAGCAGTGGAGGCAAGAGTGGAGGCAAACAAATGTAATTTGTTCTAAGGTGAGGTTTGAAGAGTATCTAATGAGCAGCTGCATAAATGTTCACAGGCTTAATTCAACATAAATGACTCCCTTCAATCTTTTATTCCTATGATAATTAATTTGTAAACATATTGGTTGAATTCCACCTCCAACTTTCAAGAATTTAGAGCAGATCCCAAAAGAACTGCAGAACAATTTTGCCTACTTTTCAATTACAGAAGGTGTTGCTTGCTTTTGTTGTTGTTTTTGGGTTTTTTTAATAATTAATTGAATAAATAATTTGTTGCTAAATATGAAAAGAACAGCACTGAATATCAACATTTTCAATGTTTTACCATATAAAGTGGTAAAAATGGCGCAGTTCATAATACATGTACAAATGATTACATGCATAATTAGTCTGAAGGGAAGAAGTATTTCTATTACTGGCAAAGCAGATCACTCAACATAGACATACTGTAGCAGAAATTACCAGCAACTTACATTAAAGGTCTGTCAAAAATCTGGGTTTGAGTAGCAAGAGTAGACTGAGTGGAACAGAAAGACCTTCACCTTAATAGTTAAACAAAAAGTCAA